CCAGGCTCGGTTCCAGGTGCAGAACCACACCACTTGTCTGTCAGTAGCCATGCTGTGGTGGCGGCTCACATAGAAGAACTAGAAGAACTTACAACTATGCACAACTATGTACTGGGGCTTTGGCGGGGGGAAGGAAAAAAAAAGGAGGAAGAATGGCAACAGATGTTAGCTTAGGGTGAACTTTCCCTTGCCAAAAAAAAAAGAGCGTCCTGGAGAAAAAGACATCTGAATGGAATTTTTAAAAAAACAAAAATTTACTAAGTTGGGGGTTGCCAGTACAGTCCTGAGTCCCTTAACGACAGGACACGTTCTGAGAAATGTGTCATTAGGCGATTCTGTTGTTGTGTGAACATCCTAGAGTGTACTTACACAAACCTAGATGATATAGCCTACTACACAACTAGGCTATATGGTACTAATCTTATGGGACCACCATCATATATACAGTCTGTCACTGACAGAAACATCGTGATATGGCACGTGACCGTATCGTCGTCTAGAAGGCCAGCTGTTGTTTCAGCTGTGTGTGAGAGGGAGTCTGTAGGAGGGAGAGTGCTGGAGTAGCAGTGTGAAAATCAGAAAACTAATGAGATGGGTGACTCTAGACAAGTCCCTTCCCTCCTCTGGACTGTTTCCCCTATGATTATGGGATCAGGTCTCCCCAACTGAACTAGAGGCACCTTGGGGGCAAGGATTATGCTGTACACTCTAACATTCTAAGCGACCTACAGAGCCTGGCTCAATACTAAACAAGGCAGACACTTGAGTAATTATTGACTGAGAACTTCAAACCTCCCTCAGGTCTCCACTCAAACGTCAGCTTTTCAGTAAGGTCTTCTCACTCCACCCTATTTACACTGGCAAACCCCTTCCCGGCTTTGTTTTATTCCATAGTACTTAGCACCATCTGACATACCTTATATTTTACTCTTTTTCCCCTCTCTGACTCTGCCAATAGCATATAAGCTCCACAGGGCAGGGACTTGATCTGTTTTCCTCACCCCTGAATCCTCAGCCCCTAGAACACTGCCTGGCACAGAGCAGACTCTGCATACGTTTTGTTGACTGAATCAATAGAGGGCATCAAGGTTTCCTAACCAACGTTTCAACTTGGGTTTCAAAGCACAACACACTGGTGACACGCAAGAAGCAAATTATGGGTGTTTGTGTCAATGTAATAATAAAATCTATCAACGCTAGTATCTTCACCCAAAATGTCCAAAAGGCCACGCATGCCGCGAGCTGTCCGTGAGAAGTCATTAGCCCCCAACTTTTCACAGAAACTCTGCCGGGTTGATTACAAATTGCCGCACAGCGTGAGGGGTATCCGCGAACTCTGTACTATTTTTGCAACTTTTCTGTAAAGCGAAAATTATTCCAAACTATAAAGGTTATATATATATAAAGAAAAAGGCATTGGTCCGGATGCCGCTGTGGGTTTCCCAAAGGATTGCTTGGACGCCAAAGGAGGCCGTGACCTCACGTCCTTTCTCTACTGGGACTGGGATCGTTAGAGGTTCCCTTCAGCTCCCACCCCCTCACCGCATCGGCGCGGTCCCAAATCGCCCGGACCTCGGTCGCCGTCCCTGCCGGCTCCTGGCCCCTCATCCCTTCCTGGGCTCACAGGCGACATTCCGGGTCCTGACCCGCCGCCCTCCACGCCGCGGGCACGTTTCGGTCCGGGCCCCGGCGCCAGGCTCCTTGGCTGTTCCCGACTACGCAAGGGAAGTGCGGCGGCAAGTCGTCGTCCTCCGGCTCCGCCGCCGTCCCCGCCGCC